AAGATAACACTGTGATGATGTATTATGAAAACCAATGAGTCATGCTTTGGATAGAATAAACTGGTACTAAATCATGCTGGAACACAAAATCATCTGCTGCATAAAGATCTTCAGCTGATAGTAGGTAGCATGAAGCATTCCAAATTATTCTGGTAAATATAACTATTAATTTTTATATTTACAAATGCAATGCTACCAATACTATTGACAGAAAAAACCTCAAACAGACACACTTACTGGAAACTTAACCAAAGTCTTCGAGCAACTTAGATTGTATGTTTGATATTTCTTCTGCCATGGGGTTAATCAAGGTTTAGTCTCTCTAGCAGTGGTGCACCCAGAGGGGGGGCCAAGGGGCCTTGGCTCCTCCAAAAGACAGAGAAAAGAAAACACACTAGAAAATTTCCAAAAATTGTTTTCTAATTAAAATTCAGTTTTTTCTTTATATTGTGTAATGTCTTTTGTTCCTGTGCTACTTATGAATTAGTGGTCATATAAAGTGAGAATTTTATTGAATTTGCATAAAAAATTTTTTTCAAAAGTTCAATTTGGCACTCCCAAGATTAAATTTCAAGTGCACTACTGCTCCCTAGAGTCCCTCTGGGTTTTTGATCAAAACTCCTTTGAGTCATGGTTGAAAACCCATTGAACCAAACCATTGCAAAGTATTCAACTTGGATGCAGTAGTTTCATATTCATCCCACAATGCTTGAAGTTGAAGACTGAAAACAATGAGTTGTTGCAAAATATTTTAAGTTCGTTCTTATCTTTTTGTTTCAACTTTCATTTTGAAACAGCATTTTTCTTGAGAATTTTGCTAACTGTTGACAGGGCACAGCCACTTTCCTGTAAATTTGCATTGTAAATGTCCATCACTGTGAAGAGCAATTAGGAAGTTCTTGGCATCAATTGGGAGATCTTTTCCCCCAACCATTTTGATGCATACAATTTCCTAGCAAATTTCAGTAACCCCACAGAATTCATAAAACCATTTAAATACCTATTTACTCATAATATTAATGGTTCATATTTTTAATTTGCATTATTCCATTATTTTGACACAGCTGATGATTCCATTTTTTTTGTCCCAATTATTGAACAGTAATGAAGACAGAAAAAATTGAATGTATTTTATATGCATGAAATAATTTATGGTTAAAGACCAATTACAACCTTGATTTTTTTACTTGGTATTCCAATGAATTCTTTTATCATAAGAAATAAACTTAGCCAGAATATAACTAATTTTTTTCTCATATCTCATTATTTTGATTTGGTATTGTATAACTTTTAAAAATTATAATTTGGGCCTATACTAATGGATTAATGCAAAAGAGTTGAACTAATTTCATTTGCACAGAGAAGCAGTATTAAAAACTAAACATCTGCTTTTTACTAAAAGTATTAAATCTTTTAGAAAATGATTTATAAGTTTCCAAAGTTGTTTTGGTGTAAAAGTTAGTACTTATAAGAAACACTATTTTGCACTTATTTATTTTTAAATTTTGGAAAAACAAAAGCTCTCCTTTTTCAATATCTCCTATAAACATGTTTTTCTTCCAAAAATTTAATTTGTTTTAAAAATAAGAAGAAAGTAGCAATATTTATTTATTTTGCAGCTTTACACTTATTATATTTTCAATAACTTTTTACATTTGAGATGCTTATCTTTATGAATTTCTTTGAATTTTTTTGAGATAATATAAGAACTACAGTTTGATATTTTAAGCATTTAGCATTGTAATCATCTTAAGTATTAAAAGACTTTAATATTGATTTGTCATTTTTCAAAATTACAAAATGCTAATATTACAGAAAAATTGAATTTAGAAAGAAATTATTAAATAAGAAACTGTTTTATTGGATATTGGAGCTTACTCTATATAAAGTAAGCTCCAATAAAACAGCCTCTTNCGAATATTACCTAATTTAATAAATCATAACTCCCCCTAATAAAATATAGCATAACCATTCCAATATAAAACCAACCATGATCGAATCCGCTTTCCAACGATGTATCAAACAATACAATCTGACCAAAATATCCAGTATAAACCTCAACGAAATAACGAGCGCTGAGCAGTACGTCTTGACCCTTCGACGACCCAGGTGTCTTCAGTTTTACAGCATTGTCAGAACTAAATTGTTTTCCTATTAAAAAGTTGTCCAAATTGCAGAAGTGGTAATCAGTGGGAGCTAGGTCTGGTGAGTATAGCGGATGATGATGAAGTTCCAACTACAATTCCTATAGTTTTGCCTGTCATTCGTGCAGTGTATGGTCTAGCATTATCATGCAATAAGATAGGAGTTGGTCTGTTGACCAATCTAGACTGTTTTTCTTTAAGTTTTTGTATCATTTTATCCAGTTGGTTGCAGTATATTTCTGCTGTGATCAATGAGCCAGGTTTCATAAAATCATAATGGATCACACCTGTGCTAGACCACTCACCATCAGCTTCTTTTGATGAATATTGCACTTTGCAGTGTTTTGATGATTCATCACTGTGCTGAACATTTGTAATTGTCATATTGGATCCATTTCTCATCACAAGTGACAATTTGATTCAAAAATGGATCAGATTTGTGACGAGAAAGCAACATCAAGCAAGCCTCCAAATGCTTTTGTTTCTGTTTTTCATTCAGTTCATGTGGAACCCACTTATCCAACTTTTTCACTTTACTGATTTGAGCTAAATGAGTTAATATTGTTTGTTTGCTAACACCAAACTTCAACGATAATTCATAGGCACTCTGAGATGAGTCAGACTCAATGGTTGGCAATATTATTACCTGTAAATTTCATCCTTGACGACCTAATAATAAAACTACTAAAATGCAAGAAAATTTTTACAAAATTTTAATGTAAATGACATCTATTGATACAGGTTTGAGAAATGATCACTGAACTTCTATTTTTTGTAGAGAATAAAAATAAGACAAATTGACAGCTGGCTTATACACAAAATCTGCTAAATAGTTCTCTCAGAGTATCTAGAGAAGTAAAATTATCAAAAATTTATCAGCTTTTAAAATATAAGTTCAATTAGGAGTGTCTAATTAAAGCATTAATGCACAGGAAATGGAAGAGAACTAAAGACATAGAATACATAATTATGTGTCTTAGGTGGTTTAAAGAAAAAATCAGGATGGCAGATGAATATCTGCAGCATACAAAAGATTTTTCAAGTTTTCTAAAGATGCTTTTGAAAAGTTTATACAAAGGAAAAGTTGATGAGTTCATAATTGCAAGTTAAAATTGGCAAATATCCTTCATCCATTTCAAAGTAACTTTTAAACACATATAATCCACGAAAAATTATTGTAATTTCAAATTTTTATTCAGCTAGGTTTTAATGAATATTTTAAATTAATTTATAATTTTGATACCTTATCTATTTTAGAATTTTAAAACTGAAAAATATTTTTATTATTGAATGATAAAATATTATAATAAATAAGTTTTTTAAGTAATTATTTTTATATGTACTTATATAAATTTTTTAATTTTTATGTGTGTTTCATCACCATGTCCATTCACAGGGGAGACAGAAGGATATACTGTGGATCCATAATTTCAACTTCTCTGCATCATTCATGTTTGCATCAAACATTGTTTACTGAGCTTTCCTCTAGCATACTTTTTATTTTTTAATGTTAAAATTCATGAATTTTATCATGAAAAAACTAAAAAATTCATTATTTTTTAATTTTAATGGGTATAAAATGATAGAGCAATCCTGTTTCATTAAAGTTAACCAAATCAGATTCTGAGAAATAAAAAAGTGTGTCCTTCAGTGTGGTTTTCTCCAATTCTTGATTATATCATCATCAATAACTGCTGCTTCACCACTGACTTTTTCAAACAAGAGGTCATGCCTCTCTCTAAAGCATTAAACCTATCCATTACTAACTTTTCAATATTTAGTGTTTAGCCACTTCGATAGCTTTCCCCTGTAAAATAATACTAGAAATAGGAATGTTTTGATATCTTGCACTTTTCAGCCAGTGGATAAGATCTTTGGCTTCTTCAAGTTTTAAATTAAATAGCTGTTTCCTTTTTCAATTTTGCACCCAACTGCTTTGATGCTTTCTTTTGCTGAAAGATTATAATTTATTGATAGTATAGCTTGAAGTATTTTATGTTCTTTCAAAAAAGCTGTCTAAATGCAATTTGACATCTCATAAAGATTAATCAAATCCCTTTTTTATTTTAAAGGCCAGACATAAACTTTTGCTTCTGAGGCATCTTTAAACTGAAAACTATACATCATCATTGTCATATCAAATGACATGGACAAATAACAAACAAGACTAAACAGACTTCTAATATTTAATTTAAAGTATACAGGAAAGTAGAAATTGTATACAAGAGTACAATTAAAGAAAAATTACCAAAACGAGATGCAATTTAGAGCCCCAAAAGATGCTTCCAAAAGTAGTGATTAAAAACTCATTTGCATATATGTGTCTAAGTGTCTAATCAATGTCTCTAGTAAAAGTTTTTGGAAAAGGAATGTGGAAAAAGCATTAGAGTTTTCATTTTTGATGTCCCCTAAGCAATAATTTTGTTTACACTCATTTTTTAAAAAACAGTATCTTAAGTCACTAAGGTGCATTCAACAATAGATATTTTCACTTAAATTTCAAATTCACACAATTTCATACATAATTAAATAGGGCCTAAAGTAGCAGATATAGCATGTAATACTGAAACTACTTCTAAAGAAGAACTGTAAATACGAAATACTAAAAATATTTTTTGACAATGAAGTTATAGCTATATTATTATATATTACTGTGGTACATATCACAGTAATATGTAATAAAAATATATATTAAAGAATGATATATTGTACAGTTATTATATATAAGATCTTTTTATGAATAAGGCATTTTTATATTGTACTTACAAATGATGTCATTTAATAATTTTTAAGACTAAAATTAAACAATTTGTTCTATGTTACTTTAGTATATGGTGTAATAAAGATAAGACTTACCATTTTAATATTGTTAAATTATAATTCTCATACTTTGTTAAAATATCAGATGCAAAGCTATTTAAAAATGCTTGATCATCTTCAATTAATAATTTTGTATTGCTAATGAATGTGATTATTTCTTTTCTGGCACAACAACCCTGAAAAAATTTAAATTTTCATAAAATTTTCTGTCAGTTTTTAAAAAATAATTTTTATTCATAAACAAAAAGAATGATATAATTTGATTTTTGTTCTGGATAAATTAGAACAGATTAATTTTGTTTTTAGTCTATGATAAATGTGGTAATTGCAAAATTAACTTTCTACATACAGTGGACTCATCTTAAAATGAACACCAATAAAGTGAATCTCATATTAAAGTAAATTTTGCCATTGCCCTGGATAAATGCTATTGTCATAATGTTAATTTTCACACAATGAAGCAAACCAAAACTTTACTAGAATTTATTAAACTGAAATGTAAATCACCTTAACTAACAACCCCCAAGAAACACTATTTCCAATAATAGTTGCTTTTTACACTTTTTGACATAAACAATAAATGTTCCATTTTGAGTAGAATAGATTTTCTTTTCCCAGTAGGCAAAGGTGGATTCTGACAATTTTTCTGTAGGATGTGTATTTTTCGAGTTATTTCACTGGATTGATTAAAATGGTCCATCCTGTATCAGGAAATTGTAAATTTGTTTCAATTAATTACTACCCACCCGCTATATATGGTTTTAACATGTAATCTTAAAATAAATAGAGTTTGAAATAAACCACTTTGAAATGATTTTAAAATAAACTTTAATAAATGTTTTAATGACTTTATATTCAGTGAATTATTGTGAACCTATTTTAATTTCATATTGTAAAGATAAAAATGTAAAAATATTTATTCTAGAATAAAAAATTAAATAAAACAAATCAATATTTAACTTATAAAGAAAATTGATACATCAATCTTAAAATATTAAATGAATAATTTTAAACTAAATTTAATAGTTATCCTTTCAAAGCTTTTAAGAGAATTTTAAATCATTTACATTAATATAAATCTCATAATTAAAATTTAGTTAGTTACCACAGTGATAAATATTTACCAGTTCATAAAAATCCTGTAGAAAATTCTTATAAAATAAATTCCAACAATTTTTACTAGAATTTTTCACCATATTCTAAAAAATAAATATGAAATATAATAATAATCATTTTCATTTATATAAAATTAGAATTTTTAACATTTTGATAAGATTATATTAAAATAAAATATAATTTAAAATATTGTATTATTTAAACACACAAACATTCAGTTTTTCCAATCACAAATATTTTGACTTTGATCAAAAACAGATTTTTTTTTTCTCTTCTGACTATTGGCTACACAAGTGAGAAATTTTTCAATTTATTTTCCCATTACATGCTGATGGTAGGGTGATGCTATACTGGTATCAGGTAATCATTATTTAAGTAATTATTTTACTGATTTTGTAAAAATTGTAAATACAAAATATAAAAAAAAAAAATCAAAGTTTAAATCATTGTTTAAAACAAAAAAAAATAGTGCCTGGCTTTTGTTTTTAAAGAAACAAAAAAAAATGTTCTTTTTATAATTTTTTTGCAATCTTGCACTAAACAAATAAAAATTTTCAAGTTAGAAAAAAAAGCAATTTGAGTAGACATAGACAAAGTTAAGAACTATAAATTACAACATCCTAACCATTCTACTTAACCTATTTTTATTGTTATATTCTAAATCTGATTTTCAAATGATAAATAATATTCTAAAAACTTTCTAAATGTAGAGTTATGCAACAAAACACATGGTTGAAATAATCTGTACATTTAAAAATTTATTTTAAAATTTTTTGGTTATCTCTAAACTATAACTTGTATATATTTAAAATTTCAGAAATGTCATTCTTGGCAATATCATTAAATAGGAATTTAACAAGATTTATAAAAAAATATTTCTTTGTTTCAGGCACTTTTATCACTTTGTAATGGAGACATTTTCAAGCTAAGCTCTCAAAGAATAGGATGAGATAGTATTCTTCATCTCAAAACTTTTCTCTGGTTTTTTTAAACTGTCTTTTCAGGGTTCCATTAAACTTGCTATTAGATGTAAATATATTTATAAAAAGGTGTGTGAGTGACTATTAAATCCATAAATCAACCTTCTGTCCTTTTCCTACTTTCCCAGTTATCACCCAAGCTACAGAGGGTTCACTTTTGTTTAAACAAATACTCTTCTTTTTGTGGAAAAATGATGTATTATAACTGATAGTACTCATTTAGCATAAATATTTGCAAACTATCACAGGACTATCCCATCCTGTCATCACGGGCGTAGCCAGGAAGGGGCATGGTAGGCACGGACCCCCCGGTTAACCTGGTGCCCTCCCCAGAAAATTACAGCCAAAAATGTGTTGAGCCGATTTGCAAAAAGAAATAAAAAGCTGAAGCTAATTTAATTGGGTGTAGTGTATCCACTGAAACTCTAGATCAGGCATAGCCAACATATGGCCCACTTAATGAGTTTATGCGGCCTACAATTAATCTCTGAATATTTGACTTAACTTGAAATAATTGCTCTAATGGATCTGCGATAATCCCTTATATCCTTACAATGTGAAGTTGTAGGAAAGTTGAGAAAATCTCACATCACCGGAAAATCTTGCTAGGGAGGGCCGCCTCTGATTCGGGCAGTGAAAAAAGTTTTCTTTCCAATTTGGCCCGGAGGTAAAAACTGTTGACACTATGATTAAAGGAAGTTTCATATTTTATGTGTGTTTAGTTATTGTTGATTCTTATGGAAATTTCATTTTAATGAACAGTAATTTAAAATAATTCAATTTTGTGTCAGGTTGGCCTCTACTAAGCCTCCCCATAACAAAACTCTGGCTACGCCAATGCCTGTCATCCTATCTCCCCTAAAGTAGGCACAGTTAGTATTGACCAAGTTCAATCTCTCATTGTGCTAACTACAAGGGGGAACCCAAAAAAAAAAAAACCAAACTGAGAGTGTGCTGCCACTCACAGATGTAGTAGAGAGTTCTCCCGTTACATGGGGTTAGTAGAGACCTTCACAAAACAGCTGTGCAAATGGCATCAGTTTGTAGGTTTACATTTGAGCATAGTGTTGTGTTTATCTTACTGTTATTTTGTTCCACCTGCAAAGTTCTGCCATCCTTCAACATCTTGAAAAGATGAAAACATTGAAAAAAATCCACCAAAAAACTGTTAAGATGTCTGTGAGAGGATGTGCGAAGGAAACACCCGGAACTTTGGCAATCAGGTGACTGATTCCTTCATCACAACGACACTCCCGCACACACAGCATTGAGTGACTCACTATTTGCCTCTTGGGGATGGCCTGTCATCCCCACCCTCCGTATTCACCAGACCTAGCCCTGTGCAACTTTTTTCTGTTCCCAAGAATGAAGAAAAATCTAAAAGGGAAGCGTTTTGATGATGTGGAGGCAATAAAAACAGCTTCGCTAAGGGCACTGGATGATATCAAGATTGAAGAGTTCCAGAGATGCTTCAAACAGTGGGGAAAAAGACTTCACAAGTGCATTGCATCTAATGGAGAGTACATTGAAGATGACTGAAGGAATTTTGTAAAAAAGTTAATAAATAAAGTTTTTATACAAAAAATCCAGTTATTTTTGGGTCCCCCCATGTATACTTCTCTTTAAAAATTAAAATGTGCATCAAAAAATAATCATTAAAACTGTAATTTTTTCCCTTACATTAATAAAACCATAATTTAGAAGTATTAAAATATTATAGGAACCTAATATTCTAATATTAGGATGGAATTATGTAACTGTTACATAAGAAGATAGTAGAAATAATAAAAAGAAATTAAAATGTACCTAATGTATATGTGTATTTTAATAAATGTATTAGTTTTATTTTAACATTATTATTAACTGAAGAGGGAATGTGAGTTCCAAAGTATGTTTTAGTTAATATTTTATTGTAATCAATTTATATAAATGGTTTACTATTTGGTTGCTTCTGTTTGACAAGCCCTTAAGTATTATTTATGTAAAATAATGAATGTGATAAATCAAAAAATAACTTGATTATCATCATTTGTACTAAATAATCACAGACTTTTTAAATGATAGATTGAGTTGATAACATATTTTTTATTATTTTAAGTAAAACAGTTTTAGCTAAAAATATTTTGGAATTAAGTATTTTTATTCTTTCCCACAATGGCTTAAAATTATCTTCTATTGCTGATGATGTTAGCTCAGTGATATTTTTTCTAATGGTTTTATCTACGCTTTTAGAATTGTTCTTTGACATTCTAATATAGCATAAGGTTGGGAATTGTTTCTTATGAAGAATGAGACACTCCTGATCTTTAATGTTCATTTATCTTTTCATTACAGCAAAGTTTTCTGAGGTTTAAGGAAGATATAATTGGAAACATTAAAGTTAACTGGCCAACAAATAGTAAGAAGCTTTTTAAAATTGTTTCTTTTCAGTGAGATAGTTCAATTGTAGATTTACAGTTAAAGATAATGTAACTATAGCTTTTTAAGATAGATAATTTATGTTTGAAGTAACCATTTTTCATTGAATGAGAAATACCATTTAAAGGAAACCATTACATGTATTTAAAAAACATTTAACAAATTAAAAAAAACAATATGGTTTTTCAATCAAACTTATTTATTTCATAAAATCAGTCAATTAAATAATTTCTAAGAACCTATTCCAATATAATTCTTTTGCAACTTATTTGATAATATAAAATGTAATAATATGTTGTAATTACTTTTTCCTTAAAAGATAATAAAAACAAATTAGCTATATTATCATTTATATTAAATGAAACATTATTAATTATTTTAATTCTCCATACTCACAATTATCTTCTGGAAAAATGATGAAAACAAACTTAAATTAGAGGAATGCTTTTCACATTTTAATTCTTGATTAAATATATTTTTCATGGGATTGTCATATTCTAAGAAGCCTGTTTCTTTCAAATGGAGGAAAAGTGGTGTATTCTGTTGAAAAAATGTAATGTATAGTCATTAATATATGTTGCATCTCAAATTTCAAATTATAGGTTATTTAAAAAAAACTAACAAATGCATATAAGGAAACAAATTAAAAAACTTTTATAAAATATTTGTTTCTCAAGTTTAATGACAAGATTCTAAAATTAAAAATTGATTTGTGGAGAGCTAAAAGTTTTATAACTGCAAATTCATTTTTTATGATCTAGTGCTACAACACCAGACCATAAAAATGGAATACAAGAAAGATTGAATTATGTCCCACACTTGAAACTGAAATAAATGTTTAAAATACAAAATGAAAGTATTAATCATACAAAAAAACATGTAGTGTCTTAAAGCAACTTGCGAAATTTGTTTTATAAACAATATTTTTCTCCTTTTGAGATGTCCATTGAACAACTCATGGACCAAAAAAGTATAACATAGTATCTCATGTCAAAATAATAGAATAATTTTATTTTAACTGTCTTCTCTCATGATCCATATGTTATAATAAACATTAATACATATCATCTGCATGCAATTATGGAACAACTTGGCTTCTGGCATTAAGTGATGGAAGTTTCTGACCATACAAACTATTTCTTTACCTTCATATTATTAACTGTAGTTGGTTGCAATGTTGCTTTTTCCCAGTATTCCATATATTCTCAATTGGATTAAGAGAGTTGCCTGGCCAAGATAACACTGTGATGATGTATTATGAAAACCAATGAGTCATGCTTTGGATAGAATAAACTGGTACTAAATCATGCTGGAACACAAAATCATCTGCTGCATAAAGATCTTCAGCTGATAGTAGGTAGCATGAAGCATTCCAAATTATTCTGGTAAATATAACTATTAATTTTTATATTTACAAATGCAATGCTACCAATACTATTGACAGAAAAAACCTCAAACAGACACACTTACTGGAAACTTAACCAAAGTCTTCGAGCAACTTAGATTGTATGTTTGATATTTCTTCTGCCATGGGGTTAATCAAGGTTTAGTCTCTCTAGCAGTGGTGCACCCAGAGGGGGGGCCAAGGGGCCTTGGCTCCTCCAAAAGACAGAGAAAAGAAAACACACTAGAAAATTTCCAAAAATTGTTTTCTAATTAAAATTCAGTTTTTTCTTTATATTGTGTAATGTCTTTTGTTCCTGTGCTACTTATGAATTAGTGGTCATATAAAGTGAGAATTTTATTGAATTTGCATAAAAAATTTTTTTCAAAAGTTCAATTTGGCACTCCCAAGATTAAATTTCAAGTGCACTACTGCTCCCTAGAGTCCCTCTGGGTTTTTGATCAAAACTCCTTTGAGTCATGGTTGAAAACCCATTGAACCAAACCATTGCAAAGTATTCAACTTGGATGCAGTAGTTTCATATTCATCCCACAATGCTTGAAGTTGAAGACTGAAAACAATGAGTTGTTGCAAAATATTTTAAGTTCGTTCTTATCTTTTTGTTTCAACTTTCATTTTGAAACAGCATTTTTCTTGAGAATTTTGCTAACTGTTGACAGGGCACAGCCACTTTCCTGTAAATTTGCATTGTAAATGTCCATCACTGTGAAGAGCAATTAGGAAGTTCTTGGCATCAATTGGGAGATCTTTTCCCCCAACCATTTTGATGCATACAATTTCCTAGCAAATTTCAGTAACCCCACAGAATTCATAAAACCATTTAAATACCTATTTACTCATAATATTAATGGTTCATATTTTTAATTTGCATTATTCCATTATTTTGACACAGCTGATGATTCCATTTTTTTTGTCCCAATTATTGAACAGTAATGAAGACAGAAAAAATTGAATGTATTTTATATGCATGAAATAATTTATGGTTAAAGACCAATTACAACCTTGATTTTTTTACTTGGTATTCCAATGAATTCTTTTATCATAAGAAATAAACTTAGCCAGAATATAACTAATTTTTTTCTCATATCTCATTATTTTGATTTGGTATTGTATAACTTTTAAAAATTATAATTTGGGCCTATACTAATGGATTAATGCAAAAGAGTTGAACTAATTTCATTTGCACAGAGAAGCAGTATTAAAAACTAAACATCTGCTTTTTACTAAAAGTATTAAATCTTTTAGAAAATGATTTATAAGTTTCCAAAGTTGTTTTGGTGTAAAAGTTAGTACTTATAAGAAACACTATTTTGCACTTATTTATTTTTAAATTTTGGAAAAACAAAAGCTCTCCTTTTTCAATATCTCCTATAAACATGTTTTTCTTCCAAAAATTTAATTTGTTTTAAAAATAAGAAGAAAGTAGCAATATTTATTTATTTTGCAGCTTTACACTTATTATATTTTCAATAACTTTTTACATTTGAGATGCTTATCTTTATGAATTTCTTTGAATTTTTTTGAGATAATATAAGAACTACAGTTTGATATTTTAAGCATTTAGCATTGTAATCATCTTAAGTATTAAAAGACTTTAATATTGATTTGTCATTTTTCAAAATTACAAAATGCTAATATTACAGAAAAATTGAATTTAGAAAGAAATTATTAAATAAGAAACTGTTTTATTGGATATTGGAGCTTACTCTATATAAAGTAAGCTCCAATAAAACAGCCTCTTATTTATCAATATTTTTTAAAAAAAGAAAATAGTTTTTAGAAATTCATAAAAACAAACTTGTGTTTTCATAATAAAGAATTTTAATAATCTTTTAAATTATATGTAAACAGCCTATAAATTATTATTTTAGAAAAAATTATATTATAGTTCAATTTTTCATATTTTTATTAATTCACACATTATAGAAGAATTATGATACAAATATTACACATACATATAATACAAAGATAATATAATAAAAATTGAAATTTCATGATAATAACTAATCTTTAACAAAAAATGTTTTCAGAAAATTAAGTTTTATCATTAGTTATAGTCTTATTTTATAATCTCTCTCTTGCTTTGCTATCCTCTACGAAATAATTAAGTTATAGTGAATTTTAAAGCATCTTACATATAAACATAATATAAATCTTTCTTTACATATAATATGTAGTATATTTACAGAATATAGATATGCAAGGCTGCTGTTAGCGATTGTGGGGCCCAGGTCAATCAAAATGTAAGGCTCTTGAAAAATATACATTATGTAATTTTTACAATTTTATTCAAAAAAAATAAATTTAAAGATATTTCTTTTATCTATGTATACAAAAAATACAATAATAAAACTACATTGTAATGTTTTTAATTATAAAATCTAAGTTTTAAAAAATTTGGAGATAAAAATAAAGAAAAGTATTAATTAAAAAGAATTATATCATAAAATTTATTCTCTGTGTTTTGCTTTCAGCAAAATCCTTACTATATTTTCAAAATCTAATTTTTTCACATATTTTGTATTCTATTGACAATAGTTAGATCTGGGAAGGAATCTGCAGTTTAGACAGCATATTTAAAACATTGTAATGGAGTCACATTAGTTATATTATTGCACCATACAGTACAAAATATTTTAATTTTATCATATAAATTGTTACCTTTAAATCCCGATTATCACTATTCCTCAGTGCAGATATAAATCCACATAATGATTCATAAGGTCATCCTTGTTCATAGCCTTTGATATATAAATATCAATTAAAACCAAATTGTCACTATGCTCTTCAATCTGTTTAAATCTTTCTTCTGTAAAAATTAATCCTTGATATGCTATTGCTAAAAAATAGTTCTGATAGAAATTTGTTTCAAGAGTATTCATACTTTGTAATCAAGTAAATGTTTCAGTTTCCTCGATCTGACTTCTTTGTATATAAGAGGAATGTTGCATTTTTTACAAATTTTATTTGCTATTAATTTTGATTTTAAGCAACTAACCAAATGATCGCTGTAATTAATTGGGCTATATTCTAGCCCAATTAATTACAGTAACCCAATACATTGATACTCAACCTTACATTGAGTATCAATGTATCGAGCTTTGGGAAGTTTATTATATTTAAGAAACTATTTTCTCTAAAATCTTTTAAATAATCTATCAATCCCTTTAATAGTGACATTACAAAACTTAAATTGGTGTCAACTTTTGCACATTTTTACTTTTATATTTTTACTTACTTATCATACTAAATAACCAACTGATATCACAAACTCAAAATTATAGTAATTTTGAATATTTTAAGTTTTTCAATTTTTTAAAATAGAATTTTAACACAACAAATAGTTTTCGTGCCATTTTTGTCACAGATATTAACATTATTATTAAATACTTTAATGTTTAGTTCTTTTAAATTATTACCATTTTGTGCTATAAATGACTAAATACGGTAAAGAGGATTATTGTGATTCAATATATTTCCTCTGGAGCATTATGCCTAATTACCATAAAAGAAGGAATAGCAGCAAGATAGAGAAAAAAAATCAAAAGTTAAACTTCTTAAGGGCTCTTGACCAGGCCCTTAAGAAGTTGCAGGGGCACTTGCCTCATGCAGGGATCTAGGCAAAGTGCCCCAGTTGCCTGGCTGTAACAATGGTACTGTAGATACACACAGTACATAATAAGAAAGAATGTACTGTATTAGTATATTTCATTAATAGCATACTATTGATTACCATATCAAATTTTTATACATTTTTACAAAGATTAAACTTATAGAATTGTTATATTATGCTAAAACTAAATTATTCATTTAAAAATAAAATACTTTCAGTGGAAAATATCAGGAAATCTATATTTATAATGTTATTATTCAGTTTAATGCTTTCTATGAAATTGTATTTGGAGTAAGGTTGTGAAATTAATTTTTAATCCTAGAATTGAGAGAAAAATTTAAAAAATAATAATAATAAAAATCGATGATTGCATCTAAAATTTTTAACAATATCATTTAATGTTATGAAATGTAATTGTCCAAATAAACTGCATTGATTAAAAAATTGATGATTTAATTATTTGATAACTGGAAAAAGGTTTGTTTGTTATTTATCAATCATAGTTTTTAATTAATTAATAATGGTTACTTTCATATTTCCTTACTCATGTTTCTTCGTATCTAAACTTTATAAAGCCGCTAAAACAAATATTTAAACAATTATAAATCAAAAAATTATAGTTTAAATTTAATATATAGGAAATTATAAATTTATTTTCATACCTCAGCTACAACATCCTCTGATTCGGAATCAGACATTGTTTTATTTCGCGATCTAATTCTAAATTTTAATTCGTGTCTTTCCCGGTAGATGTCAATTTCAACACAAGCACGTGTTTCCGTCTGGTATCAATTTCCGCTAACTTACAATCATGTGGTTGTGTTAAGCTGTTGGTCTCAGATTGTTTTTTTGTTTTAACGTATATGAAGTACACAATGAAGGTAGAAAACGTTTTGAATTGCAGTTTTAATAATTGGTTTTCTCGATTTCAGAGAGTTACAATGAAAAGGTAAAAATAGTTACAACCATATTTAATCTTAGGCCTAATTTACTAAGTGTTTGAAAATTAGTTACGAATTACTAATAGAAACAGATAGAAAGTTTTATTAACAGTTTTGAAACATTTTACATTACATTAGAAAATTTGGTGAATGTTCAGATGCGTGGACCATCATGGCGGCACTTCCTGTTTTAGCCTCGAAACCTGACGCCTGTGGAGACGACGTGGCACGTGACGACGCGAGCGCCTGCGCGACGTGTCGCGTGACGACGCGAGTGCCTGCGCGTGTTCTGAGTGGGATTTTGCGCCTGCGCGTGTTCTGAGTGTGGTTTCGCGCCTGCGCGACGTGTCATGTGACGACGCAAGCGCCTGCGCGTGTTCTGAGTGTGGTTTTTTGAAATTTTCGACCGGTTGGTGTTTGCGTTTTCTGTTTTTTTGCTTTTCCCCACAAATGGAGACTTTACGCATTGAGACTTCCACGGATTTATTTCGCCTTTTGGATTATGAATATCCCGAGTTGGGTTTGGACGTTATGATTCCTTCCGATATAAAATACGCAAAACATCGAAAGGATGTGGGGGACCTTCAAGAACAGAAAAAATCTGCCCCTACACTATACCGAGGAACTTCGAGATTCGTATCTGTACGCTTTTATGTACAAAAAGCATATGAAGTGGGAAAGTCTCAAGCCGGGTGATCGTTTCAGAATTTTCTGCGAACATTTAAGAAAAATGTATCCAGGAGCGGGACGCGAGCCCGAATGGAAGGAGCCAGAAACCGTTCCGGCAGCCCCGGAAGCGACGCCGAAGAATCAACGAAGCGGCGAGACGAGCAAGAGCAAGAAGCGCGCCAGAGTCGGCGAATGACTGCGGACAAAGGTGAGTAAAAAAAACTTTTTATTTTGTTATTTTGGTTAAAGTCCAGATACTTACTGTCATGGCGGCTCACCGCCGATTCCAGCAAAGAGAAGCAAACAGTGGGGACGCACGTTCTAACCTAACCTAAACCTATTCTAATAAATTACCATAATTAATACCGATTATATTAATAGAATAGGTTTAGGTTAGGTTAGAACGTGCGTCCCCACTGTTTGCTTCTCTTTGCTGGAATCGGCGGTGAGCCGCCATAACAGCCGCCGACGCTGCCGCGGCGCCGCAGCAGCCGCCGTTCGCTCGCGTCGTCACGTGACACGTCGTCTCCAAATGCGTCAGGTTTCGAGGCTAAAACAGGAAGTGCCGCCATGATGGTCCACGCATCTGAACATTTACCGAAAATTTGATTGTCGCCATTGTTGTGAATTATTAAAATTGTAATTGTTCTATGCATAAATTTTAATTCGTTTTATTCATATTACTCCGACAATTTGAGTCCAGTAATTATAATAGTGAATGGATAGTTTTAAAGATGACATTGCCATACGTGTCAAGATATGAAAAATAGTAATGAGTGAAAACAAAGCTAATGGGTAAAAGTTATTTGTTAGCAGTATGCACGTTTTCTCGAAAAAATGATGAGAAATTGTGAAAAATAAAGTGCGTTTTCAAATTTTTATTATCTCAGACAATTTGTTTATTGTTTTGTATGTTCATATTAATATTTTATCTTTACATAATACAGCTGTTTCTATTTTAGGTTTTTTGAATCAATAAATTCAAATCTGTTGTGAGATAACTTGAAAATTTGTCAAATCAAAAGTTGTTTGCTTTTTCTTCCCTACATTAAACTTTTCACTTTGCAGATGAATTTTTATGTAAAAAATGTTAAAAATCATATAAACAACTTTTGATTTGACAAATTTTCAAGTTATCTCACAACAGATTTGAATTTATTGATTCAAAAAACATAAAATAGAAACAGTTGTATTATGTAAAGATAAAATATTAATATGAACATACAAAACAATAAACAAATTGTCTGAGATAATAAAAATTTGAAAACACACTTTATATATATATATATATACAGTTGTGGCAGTATACCATTATGTATATATTAATTTAAGTATAGTTTTAGAGTATTTATTCTCCTTTGTTTTGTTCCTTCTTGCTTCTAGAAGTTTCCTTTCTAACTCTTTTCCTTTGGGTGGTTAGGACTGATTCTTGGAACCACAGAGAACAAAGAAAGAGAGAGAACCTGAAGGCACAAAGTAGAAAGAGTGAGACATTGGCTGTGTTCGGCAGATTCAACAGTTCCGGAGCTGTTGAGTATTTTTCTGCTGAATGCACTCTACAGTAGTCCTGTTTCGGAACATGTTTGGTGTTTTGATGTAACATCCTTCATTTATGCTATCTTTCTCTAACTGCAACTGACCAATGATGGCTGCTTCCTGTTCCAACTTATACATCACTTGTCATTCAGCAGATATAACTACGTAGCAGCTACCAATTGAAACATCTTCGCTCAGTTGCAGCTGTTGACTCTGCTGAACAGTCATTCTTTGGACTAGATCCCAAGGTGGACAGATGTTGAAGATGGTGTGCACATTGTTAAGAGCAACTAGACTGGAGGAACAGTGCTAGTCTGAGAAGAACTTGAACTTTATTGTAGTCATGATAAAAGAATGTGACAACTAGGTATAAAGAACCACCTAGTGAAGACAGCAACAAGTCATCTTTCAGAGAGAGAGTTCCACATGGCATCCCACTAAAATTGTGAAGTTCCATAAAATCCCGGGTATTTCATTATTTCCTATATCCTGTTTTCCTATTTTATTTCTCTCCCTATCATCTTTCTTCCTTTAGTTTTAAGTTAGTTTATAAGTATTAGTTATAGTCTTTCCCAATATCATTTTAAATTTTGTCATTGTCTACCGTTAAATATCTGTTGCAGCTGTGTTGTAATTATTTTACCATTGAGTTGGAATCTGAAAAGAACCTGTACATATTCTGCAAAATAAAGTACTTTGCTTAACCATATACTGTTGCTCAGTATTTGTTGATATGTTTTCATTTATGGTCCATGTGTATTTCATGTGATCATCACACAATCAACTTTATTAATTAAAGTTTATCTGCCTTTGAGGTAACAAATAGTTGAAACTGCTAAGAATTTTGATTAATTAATTAATTTAATTATAAAATGTCCAGACTACTGGTTTCCTATAATTTCATCTTGTTCCAAAAGACTCAACTTTATTAGAATCATCTGTTTAATTTCATAACATGTTTTCGTGTTTTGCCTTTATCAAACTGTTACATAAATGTAAAATATATTTTTCAATAAGTGCTAAACTATATATGAACAGTAAATGAATAAGTATTCACTTATTGAATGAAGATACTTAAACATTTTTGACTGATGTTCACAACACAAATTTCTTACAGAAAACACTTCTCATATACTTCATTATACTTCATTGTAGAATTTCATTAATACAATAGTTTCAGGTAGTAATACATACTAGCAATTGTTTCCAGCAATTAATTTCTATACATTGATTATTTATTGTTTTTGTCTCTTTATTTATATAAATGTTTTCTAAAAATTTCCTTTTAAATACAGTGGGTGATTGATTAAGGAACATAATTCGTTCCAAGACTTTGTTTGCTACCTGAATTGTTCATTAACCAAGTATCAATTTACCATAAGTTTTTATGGGAATTTGATTAATTTGTTCTGGAGATCCCAAAAAATAAAAAAAATATATACTTTCTTACTAAGTTTATTTATATGCAATAATAAAAAATACATATATACACAGTCTTGCATTTTTATTAGTCATATTTTTTCCATTTGTGGGGATTAAAGAATCTGTCTAATGTTGATTGCTTTTCTCTCTTCTTCAAGATTTTTCAAAAGTAATTAATAGCATTGTTATTGTAGAAATCCCCAAGCCTATTAACCTCAACCTGGTTTGGATGCCATTCTAAGACCATTGTTCTGATATCCTCTCACTTCTTCAAAAGATGTTTAATAGCAGATATCAGCATTAATTCTCTTTTTCAGAAGAAAACATATCTCACTGAGTTTCTTGGTGTTCTTCATTCAAGAGTTTGTGGTGTTCTTCTGTCATCAGATCCATTTCAGGTTCCATTATTAGCTCTTCAACATTCTTTATTTCTCAGATGTGATTTTAAGCTGCTTGAGTCTTCAAGATTATACAGTATCTTTCTTAGATAAGATTGAACTGTGGGCTACTGTAGATCTGTTCAAGCCAAACTGCCCAGCAACATCAGACATCTTCTGTCCACTCTCTACCTTTGCTATTATACGAGGTCTGTTCAAAAAGTATCGGACCTTTTTTTTCCGCGTAAACCAATGATGAGCGAGAGGCCTCCTTTGGTGGAGTTGTGGAGGGGACAGTCATGCACAGCCCTGAATTTTTTCCCGCCTGCAGGAAGCGCCAGTTGTTGGCAATCGGCCTATGAGTGAGGTCATGTAGTGCACTCTTGTCGGATTCCACTAAGCTGGAAAATGTCTGAACAACGTGAGCAGTGATATTACATCAAATTTTGCCAAAAACCTTGGCGATACCCAAGCGTAAACCATTCGCAAGATTCAGCAGGCTTTCGGGGACGATCCTCGAGGCCAAAAAAAGCGCGGCAGGTCCGCAGCAATATCAAAGGTCATGTTGACAGTTTTTTCGACTCTCGTGGGGTGGTGTGTCGTGAGTACGCACCACAAGGCCAAACCATCGCAAAGGAGTACTACCAGGAGGTCCTTCGTCGTCTTTCCGATACAGTGCGACGCAAACGACCGGATCTGTGGTCGATCAAAACTTGGCAGCTCCATCGTGATAACGCATCCGCCCATTCTGCGCATCTGATTCGGGCTTTCGTCGCCAAACACAATACTCCTGTGGTTCGTCACGCTCCGTACTCTCTCCACATGGCTCCGTGTGACCTTTGGCTATTTCTCAAGCTGAAAATGCCGCTAAAAGGAACCCAAATTTAGTCGAGAGAAGACATCATGCGAAATGCGACGGACCGGCTGATAACCATTCCAAAAGATGCGTTCCAGCAGTGTTTCCAGCAATGGCAGGAACGCTGGGAGAAGTGTATACATTACCAAGGAGACTACTTTGAAGGGGATTAGGGTTTTGTACCTCAAAGTCAATAAATTTATTTTTGCCGACCAAAGGTCCGATACTTTTTGAACACACCATGTACTCTCACATTTCGAAAATAAAAACCAATGTAAAAATTAATGAGTGCCCACCCGACAGTCTCACGAATGCTATGAAAGAATTGTTTCTGTCAGAAAAATAAAAGGCTGGAATTACAAGGGAGAGTTTCAAAGTTTGGAGGAATACTATCCGATCAGTGTATATCAGGTTGAGTGTCGATTTCCTGCATTCTGAAAAGTTTTGAATTGTTTGAAGACAAGGGAAGACCAATTGGTAGTCATTATTTTATGTCGCTTCTTCTTGTGTTTGTTCTGTGATGAGGTGTTTGTTGTCTGAACATAAATATCTTTCATGAGCATGTTCATTATCTGATTTGTTCGTTAACCTATCACCCATTGTATAAGGTAATGGTACCAGTAGTCGACCATTTAAAGCTGTTTTGGATTTTGATATTTTTTATTACGATGTGTAGTAACACAAAAAGCAAAATTTATGTATGAAAATAAAAATTGTTCTATTTTGTAATGAAAAAGAAAACATTTTTTATTTGACCTTTACTTAAATTATGAAAAAAAATTAATCAATAACATGTGCATTCACCCTGTAGTTGATCATAAAATTCCTAAGTCCGATTACTGATGATCTAGTTGTCATCCATATAAGCCAACTGTGGTGTTTATTTATATAAACTCAGTTGGATAAGTGGGAAATCTTACACATGAACATTTATGTGAATTATGGTTTATTTACTACATAATCATCATATAAAAGGTGCATTGTTGTAGCAACATTATAAGGGGTTCCTGCTATTGGTGAACATTTCAATTGGTACCAACTGCTGCAATAATCACAGCCAATATTTTTTAGTTTATCCATTTCTCTATTACTGTCTGAATCCTTAGCACAATTTGAACACTTTTGCTTCTCAGTGATCCCAACTTCATTTGTATTTAGTGATGCAAGAACTTTTCTGTTTTTTCCTCCTCTGCCACTACATTTCCTGGAAGATTTTTTTTTTTTTTCCAGTCTTTCCATTTTCCTCCTCTTTCTCTTCTGTTTAACTTTTGCTCTTTCTTTTTGTAATATGAATGTTGTTCATGAATTGGATGCAATAGCACTTGGTGGATGTTCTTTTTGTTAACGTTTCTTTTTTGTACAAATTGGTCCTGACCAATACAAAAGATTAAAAAAAGCCAGGAGACACATTTCCATATAATGATGTATATGAAATTGCTGGAGAATCGGATTGGATTGTTTCAGAATTTTTAGAACTTAATGCAGCTCTGATAGACCTTTTTTGGCCTCTAATAGCAGAAAGAGTAGCAGAGAGTCCTGTACACTAACTTTGTTTTTTCCTACTTTGTTGATACTCATAAAATTTTTTTCACAATGTAAATTGGTTCTTAGTGTTTAATGACTTCAGTTTTCCAACCTTAGGGTTAAGTTGATAAAATTCATTATCCTCAATTTTATCAAAATTTTCTTCAGATTTGTCTCTCCAAAAGTTTTTCTCCAGACAATTTTTTTACCATATATTTTTCTCTGAACATTTTTTCTTGAAAATATTTTCTTAAATAATATTTTACAACATTGTTTGTTGAATTATTATTATTAATAAATCGTCACTAAATGCCAAATGCCATAGAAACAATGTCACTGTGTGAAATAGATTGTAAAATTACATACTCAGTCACATCTGTCATGTACAATACATTTTCATCAGATATACATTTTTGATTTATTATAAAAAGTAATAATAATAACACTACTATTAATAAATTAGTTCAATGGAATATGAAACAAAACTGATGTAATTTTATTTAGGCAAACTCTTGGCATGGTTTTGCATACTACTGCTAAAATGAATCTATACTTATATATATATATATATTTACTCACGTTTATTCTTTTANNAAGTGTTGAGTAACAAAGGAAGTGTTAATATAAAGCGGCATGCAAGATTTACAAGATGCAAGATATGGGGTTTAAAGTGGTTGACTTCGAAGATGTGTAACAATGGAAGTGTTAACAGTGGAAGTGTTAAGAATGGAAATGTTAACAATGAAAGTGTTGAGTAACAAAGGAAGTGTTAATATAAAGCGGCATGCAAGATTTACAAGATGCAAGATATGGGGTTTAAAGTGGTTGACTTCGAAGATGTGTAACAATGGAAGTGTTAAGAATGGAAATGTTAACAATAGAAGTGTTGAGTAACAAAGGAAGTGTTAATATAAAGCGGCATGCAAGATTTACAGGTGGTTTTTTGCATTTTTGCAGGACCTTTCAGCTAGATTCTAGATTACAGTCTTTTATATATAAAAAAAAACTATATTACATACAAATAAAAATCCAGTGAAGTGGGTCCTTGCAGCTAGTAAAACAATAAACTTAAAAAAATAACTATTCAACCAAACAATTGCCTTAAACAATTGGGCTATCTAGTACCAAATTACTTAGTATCTAATAATTAATAATAGAGGATTTATAGCCCGATTGTTTATGGTGATCATTTAGTTGAGAATTTACGTATTAATAATCTTTATAAACAGCAAAAAAAGTTTTAATCACTAATATTTTCAATCATTTTCAATGACCTTCTTCAGGTTACATAGAATAAATCAAACAATAAAAACATAATGTAAATGTATAGAACAACAGAATGTCAAACAAATTATAAATCAAAAAATAAATAAATACAAGAATGAAATATGAATGAAAATAAAATCATATAAGGGAAAAAATATGTAAAACATACAAAAATATATATATATATATAATAAGAATGTATTCAAAATTTTATAATTGCTGAAATGATTTATTTATTTATAGTATTATAAGTACTTGTATAGTATATAGTTCTATGCATTTGGAGCTAAAACTATTTAAAATGACTAAGACAAAACCTTTCTCACTTTGTTTCTAGACATTTAAACACTGATTACAAACGTTTTTCGGCCTTTTTAATAGGCCTTCTTCAGGTGCACTGTGGTCTGCAAGAACATTGGTTGGTATACATTCTAGCAGACCACAGTGTACCTGAAGAAGGCCGAAAATGTTTGTAATCAGTGTTTAAATGGCTAGAAACAAAGTGAGAAAGGTTTAGTATTAGTCATAAATATAGTATTACATAAATGCATAATTTATTTTTTTACTTTAATTGATTTGAATTAATTTTTTGCAGTATTATATTACCATTGAGCATTGAATTTGTGGATTATCTATTAGCAGATGGGGTATTCCTTCCAAATAGGTAAGGTTAAAATATATCATACACTATTATATGCATAAAGTATAGTTTAGTGCTAAAATGTGTAATATCTAATGCCAAGTGGTGGTTTATGACTTACCATTTTGAATTCCAGAAAATCTTTTGCTTGAGATATACAAATGTATGCTATCTGTCTTTCAAAGTTTTTATTCTGTTATTGATTACTAACTCTCAGTTTGTGATGTCATGAAAATAGCAAAATATATGTTTTATGTTAAATACAGTAAAAGAATGTATAGTCTTAATAGTTGAAATATTTTCTACTTGTATTTATTTTACAAAGTGTACATTACTAAAATGTCCTTTTTTTGTCAAAGTTTCATTTTTTAATTAACGTTATTTCCATAAAGAGTTTTATAAGCACAAGCTTGCTATAAAATATATTTCCAAGTTTTCTGGTAAAAAAAAACAACATATGTCATCTGAAAAGATATTCCTAAATGCAGAAGAGAACCTTTTTCAGTCACAATCTGAGAAACTACTTCCAGAGACTCTGTTACCTCTACTCCCAATGTTTGCAGTTTCTGTATAACTCTCAGAATACAGGAAAAATTGGCTGCTATGTATGCCAAATTATTTGAGATGTTACTAACAGAAAACATTTCTTATGCAATTGGAATACAAGTATCCTCTAGATCAGGGCTGTCTGTCATTGTGTTAAACTTTATAAAAGTAACTTGATAAAATTAATATAAATATATAATTATTAAAAATTGATTTTACAAAAACAGTACCTGTTTAACATTATTGCTATAGAAGAAAGCTGCATCTAACCAGGTACCCCATTTAGTTATGATTGGTTGAAGTGGGAGGGCAGTGTTTGGAAAGCTTTTCTTGGTAAAATTTTATCTGTTGAGGAGCTTTCATGAAAACTTTTTAAATTGATGTTATTAGTTTGTCTACAGTTCCAAATGCTTGTATTTCTTCAGCAAGTCTGTCATGAGCCAAGCACATAATTTAAATTGGGATACAGAACTCTCAGTATTCCTGTTGCTTTTAATGTTTCAGGAGCAGCATCAGTAACAAAAATTAGCATTGTCTCCTCATGCATTTGTTGATTGTACAGTTTATTTAAGTTTAAAAGAAGAAGAATATTTAGGTAAGTTTGTCAACCACATAGTGAAGAAGAAGAAAAATTACTGAGTGAATTGTTAACAAATCATGAGTGAGGAATAGTTAGTTTTTCTGCAATTTTGAATAAGAACTCAGATGGGATCTGCAAACTTTTTTCTTGTTATATTTACTGACTAAGCAACTTGCCAAGTATCTTCTTTCAACATTGGTTCTTTCATCTATCGTAATCCAGATATGGAAATCTGCTATATATTTACATACAGTGTCTGCAAGAACATGAAGGAAGTTAAGAGAACACAACTGCATAAAGGAAATTTTTAAGTTCTGTGAACCGAGGGGGTAGAGTGGTGAGCTTCTCCCCACTTATTGCTTCAGTATCAGGGATGGCTTCGGTTAAATGAGTGGGAGGGGTAGCGAGGTTGTGACGGGGTGTCGGTCGTACTCAAAGATGACACATTATTAAAAATAGGAATAACATATTTAATTATTAACAAAAGATACAGATACATTCAAATACATTCTACATCAATCAAGAGAAAAATGGCAAAAATAATACCAATAGGAGAACCCGTGTCACAACAATATTAAGACAGCCGCTGTCTGTCTTTCTCGTCTGGACCGCCGTAGAACTTTTTATAATCTAATCTAAACTCGAAAAAGAGAGAAGTAAAAATTTTTCTAAGTCTTTACCTTGTTTGCAGTGGCAATCAGAAACTGCAAAGATCTCAAGTGGAGAGTAGGCTTGAAGTGTCCAGATCCTAGGGCTTCTTCCTGGTGATCGCCCGGAGATGCAGGAGCAATCCCCTTTTATACATGGTTAGCATGGGAAATATCTGGGAATATTCTGACATAATTGTTTTTGCTGTGTATGTTGTTTACTTGAATTTTGACAGTTCTTTAGATTTATTACTGTCTCTCCCGTCATGGGTGACAAAGTTATGACCATCGTCGACATCTCGCTGAACCAGTCAGCATTAAAGTAGTCATCACTTGGGGTGATGACTGGCCATTCTTGGTAACGTGATAGGGTTTCTCACCATATGGTCTACCCTTGCAGGTGACCTTTTTGGTTACCCTCTAGACAATAACATGTGTTTGCTGTTATTAATTGGTTATTTAGTTGTACATCGCAGCTACCTTAGAACTGAGCGATCCCCTGGTGTGAGGGGAGTCCTTCTTCGGTTGTTTAGGACGACTTTGACCGTCTGAGAGGTCACTTTTCGAAGTGATGCAGTACATTGAGGGGTCAAAAGGTCTATTCCCCAGCCAAAGGGGTGAAAACAGGCGAAATAAGGGAAATAATGATGAAAGAAAAATTTATAATATCAATCTAAGTCTTTACATCTTCCAAAAGCAAGTCTGATCTCTCACAGTTCCAATCTTTTTATAGCACATTATAAGATATTTTTTGTTAATATGGATTTGCAAATAATTAGTCTGGTACACCATTTTTCTAAGAAATTTTTGAAAGCAGAGTTTTACACCTTTACAAATGGAATGCTGACAACTAAAAGGATTGAACAGAGTTCAAATGAAAACTCATCCTGATTATATAGAAGGTTCACCTACTGAAGTCTCTTTGATTTTTGTCAGAAGGGTTTGTGTGTTTTTCTTGCCTTTTTCACTGTCTCATTTCTGGCATTAATCATTGTTTCATTGTATTGCTTAAGTTGATACATTTTGCAGGAAATCTGTACAAATGATTACAATAATTATTTAGCATAACTTCAAAATAGAATATCAATGCTGAGGTTGCACAGCTTGCTTATCTTTTTCTCGCATGCTTGGAAAAATACTATTTTTCATTGGTTGTGTATATACATTTGTCAAAAAATTTTATGCATTCTCTTAATTTGATTGAAAATGATTTTGATTTTTTGGCATTCCAAGAGTAAATTACAAACTTTCCTGTTACACAAGTTGTTCATAAAATGCTAAGAAACTCATTAAAAGAAAATTAGTTAGGAATTGTAATCAGTTACTATTATAATTGATTATTGTTATGACAAGTTTTAGCTTTGAACAACACATTGCTTAATTGCTTTAACTAGTATTACTTTTAACTGTAATTTCTTGAAAAATTTTATGATTACACTAAATCTGGAGACCAGATTATGCTCATTTTAATGAACACTTCTAGTTACTTACTTTAATTACAGTAGAATCTTGTTTTAATGGATTGCGGAATAATGATTTCTCAGAATAATGGATTTTTTCCAGGTCCTGCCAAATCAATGTAATTTTATCTCTTTTTAGCAGATCCATTACTTGAAATAACAGATTTTTTCTACCCCAAATCTGTTGTAAACTCTGCGTTTTTTTTATGTTTAGTTAATATTTGGGTGTTTCTGAGAAATTTGTAGAGTTTGATAATGCCCTTTTTACATTTGGGATATGTACAATTGAAGAATTGTATATAGAGAGTAAGCCAGCTGATACAATTGAGGAGGAGTCACCTAATGAATACTGTTGCTGGTCCAAGTGTAGTGCCAAAATTTAGTGAGGCCATCAAGTATTTCCAAGTTGTGAAAACCTTCCTGACGAGTTTCATCATAAATGAACAGGCTGTACTGTACAGGTATTGTATTCAATAGACAGAAAAGCAGCATCAAAAGAAATCAAGATGGACAAGTTTTTTAACAAATTGTGAAGTCAAGCAAAGTGCTAATGAGCATATTTAATTTGCCTTTTTTATGGTTACAGTATGTACAATTTTCATCAGCTTTGTTGTACACATGTATGGCATAAAATATACATATGTTACAAATGTACATATTTCTATAGGATAAAGAATAGACATCTCAAGAGACTGAATAATTTTAAGTACTGGTATTTCTTATATATATAGGGGTTAAAAAACAAATTTTTTTAATAGAATTGAATTGAATAATGAATGTTTTCTTGGGTGTACAGGAAATCCATTGTTTGCGATATAACGGATTCTCGGAACAATGTATTAATTTTTGGCAGGCCAAGCAATTTGTTAAAACGAGATTCTTTTGTATATATGTTTCAAGGTTTCCAATATTATGCACACGACACACCCCACCAATTTTGTCTGTTTCTCATCTTTCCTTCAAGTGCTGAGTTCCAAATTTAATTTATAATATTAGCAGGCATGCAAAGCAATCATGCCACTAATTTATACATGATATATCCTGTATTAAATTCCTTTTATATTGCAATGTAGATTACATCTGTAAATTGATCTAGCTTTTATTTTTCTAAAACACCACTGGTCAAGGTAATGAGTTATTTTTTTATCATCTTAAGCATCGGTAAATTACATTTTAAATTGAAGAAATAGTAAGAAAATATTTCTAGAATATATACAATGTATCATAAAAAAAGACTTTGCTTAAAAAGAAAGATGCAAAGAAATAATTTTGCATGTTGAAGAATGTATATTTACACTATTTTCAAGATCATTCTCAGTCAACTGAACTTTTTCTAACCAATCACAATATGAAATTTAAAATTTTGGAATGGTTTACTTTTTGGAATTCAAGTTTGAAATATTTACAGCTGAATTTTGCCAGCCATGCATATTTCCAACCACCAAATGTGAATTGAGTGGAAAATGCAAGAAAATTAGTTAGAAAGTTTTTGATAGCATCAGAAATATGTTTTAAAATTTAAATTATAAATGGGTAAAATTTGTTGAGAATTTACATTTCTAAGTTTGTTATCTTCAGGCCAGTTAAGTCTGTAAATAGAAAAAATCAAATATGTAAAAATACATAGTAAATATGTACATAAGTCCACAAACTTGATTTTTGATTAAAGCCAAATGATCTGCCAAATTATTAGATTATAATAAGGGTCAATTAATAATTAGCTAGTATCCTGCCCATAAGCTTTCCATATCTGGTCTCAGCTTTCATTTATTTCACTCTATTTTCAAGATTAAGGAAGGACAAACAGATGGACAACAGTGGAAAGGTATACAATTTTTTCAAATTGCAGCCCAGTTATTAATTTAGCTGTATTATTGCTCGATAATTCAACAAATTGTCTGGCTTTATTTAGTAAATATTTAACTACAGTAATACATATAAAGATAATATAAAACCTTATTTATGTTAAAATTCTTATTGAAATGCTATTTTTTAATTCATTTGCAACTGTTACTTATACATATCATTTTAAAATGAAAAAACATACATGCAAATATAACATAATTATATAAAAATCTGAGGATTACTAATGATTCTTTCTACTGCTATTTCTATTTATCCATGCATTTTTGGCTATCATTTGAAAATGAGAAATTTTTGATTCAACAGTTTCATGTTATTTTTGATATAACTTTTTGTAAATTTTTTATGTTTGGTTTGGATATCAATTTATATTACATTAGTTGTTTTTTAATTGTTTGTTTTCATATGTTGATGAAGTAACTGCAGTTTGATGATGCATAAGTAATAAACATATTGACTTTTAGCAAAGTGAAAAATATATTAGCAATTAAGAAGTGAAATTTTATTATGATAGAAGATATATTAGTGATATCCAATGTATACAAAGTACAATAGACAAATCAATGTATACTGTATACAGTATATATTGATTTGTCTAACATTTTAGTTTTTTTTTAAAGTAAATTAGTTTTCATTAGATTTATATTTTACTCATACTATGGAATTTATGTACTGTACTGTACATGTATTAAGGTACAATTTTGTAGATAAAATCATTTGATTAGACTAAAATTTTAATAAAAATTATATTCAAAGATTATTTGGATTATTTCAATTCAGATATATGAGCATCAGTTGAAGAAAATATACTTATAGTCATTATTCAGTTAATTGCATTTTAAAGAAATTTTCTAGAAAACTGCTCTTTATAAATTTGTGAACCAGATTGTAGTATTACAATATATGGAGATAAATAATTCTTGTAAGGCAGACTTTTAAATCAGAATTGTTCAAATTTAAATTGAGCAATTCTGATTTAAAAATGTACTGATTATTTTTCTAAAAATTGCATTTCTTATGTTAGCATTGTTTTTGATTTTTTAACTATTAAATGTTTCAACTAATTTAGTTTCCTATTGTTTTTACTATTAACAATTAAAAAAATCAAAACAATGCTAACATAAGAAATGCATTTTTTTGAAAAGTAATCAAGAGGTTTTTAAATCAGGTTATAATATTATAAATATTTTATAATAATGTATAATACAGTAGAGCCTCGATTATCCGACCCTTGATTAACCAACACCTCGGTTAACTGACTGTCCTAGTCGGCAAATTTCAAATGTCCGCTAGTGATGTGGCGCTACAATATTTGGCTATGTCTTGGCTACTTTAATATTATTTTTACGTGTTTTAGCTGGCAACACTCATTCGACCATGAAAGGGAGCCAGTATTTAAACGAGGCTTAATTTTCTAATTTTTAATGATACAATAGCAACAATTATTATTTAAAAATTTTTTGTTAGGCTTAACATCGATGAAAATTCAACGCGAAGTAGGTTAATAGCGATATACTAATATACTAATTACATGGGATATAATAATATACTACACTAATAATGGAGTTTTTCATACTTTTTGGTTATCCAACTTTTCAATTATCTGACCAACCCGTCCCCAATTGAGTCGGATAATCGAGGCTCTACTGTAATTAAAAATATTTTTCATAAAATTGTGCTATTGTAAAAATTTAATTAATTCATATTTCATGTATTTTATAGTTAATTTTTTATTTCATTTTTATTAGTGAAGAACATAAATTTCCACTAAATGAAGATGACTCTGACACTGTAAGTTTATATGTATCATTCATCAGTTTTGTAGTATAATAGAGCTATAACAACTGTTTTTTAAACTAATGTAATAATTGATAATACTCATAACTTCTAATATCATAATAGAATTATTAAAATGTCTTAAACAAATACAATGTAGCTCAAAATATTTATATATATTTAAAACTTATAAACTATATTTTCTGACATAATATATGTACAAGGGTTGATTGATAAATAAGTTTTTTGTGTATATATATATTTAGTTGGGAAGAAGTGCATGTGAGCAGTTTTAAAATGTAATAAAAATTGGTTATTTTCTGTTAACAGGACACCAGTTGATATATACTTCAATGTGCTATTTTATTACATGTTATTTACATTTTGAAATAACATTGGAAAGTGTAGAAATGAACAAATAAAAAACTTACAAAAAGGTTTTTCCACATTACACAGGAGGCATAAACCTGCAGATTTCGTTTATCATTGCCAAAAACATTTGAGTTTTTGCTTGCAATCAACACTACATGAATTCAACTAGTTAGGAATATAGGTGATGACAGGCACTCCCTCGTAATCTTTCTACAGTTTGCAACTCCAAATCAACAGCAAGAGATGACTTGGGCACACAATACATTGCATTTATGCTTCAAGCATGTTTTTTTCACTACATTCACAGTTCAAACACAAGTGAAATTTTGTCAAATTTAGCATTTGAACTTTGAAGTACTAGATACTACTGTATTTTAAAGTTTGAATAAGGAAAAATAATATTTAATAGAGAACTAAATATTAGGAAAAAATACAATTAATTGTTAGTATAAAATATTTGATAAAGTCCTCCTCTGGGCTGATCTTTTCTTCCAGAATATTCTAAATTTAAATTAAAAATTAAATTTATTTCTAATTATAAAATTTATTAAGAGATGGCAGCTTACCTTTAAGCCAAATTGCTTTGTTTCTGATCATTAAAGTAACTATAATTTAGACCAATAAAAATCTAGCAGATTGTTTGGAAATTCTAATATATCAGGTTGGTTGCTAGTTATAAAATACAGTGGGTGATCGGTTAACAAACATAATCCATTCCAAGACTTTGTTTGCTATCTGAATTGTTTGTTAACCAATTATCAATTTACCATACGTTTGTATGGGAATTTAATTAATTCGTTCTGGAGATCCCAAAAAATAAAAAATATACTTTCTTACTACGTTCATTTATCTGTAATAATAAAAATACATATATACACAGTCTTGCATTTTTATTAGTTATGTTTTTTTGTTTGTGGGGTTAAAGAATCTGTCTAATGTCGATTGCTTTTCTCTCTTCAGGATTTTCAGAAGTAATTAATAGCATTGTAATTGTAGAGATCCCCAAGCCTATTAACCTCAATCTGGTTTGCATGCCATTCTAAGACCATTGATCTGACATCCCCCACTTTTTCAAAAGATCTTTAATTAATAGCAGATATGGGCATTAATCCTCTTTTTCATAATAAAACATATCTCACTGAGTTTCTTGGTGTTATTCATTCAAGAGTTTGTGGTGTTCTTCTGTCATCAGATCCATTTCAGGTTCAATGTTCCTTATTTCTCAGAAGTGATTTTTGTTACTCCTTTAGCTGCTTGAGTCTTCTTGATTATACTGTATCTTTCTTAGATAAGATTGAACTGTGCCCTACTGTAGTTTTGTTCAAGCCATACTGCCCAGCAACATCAGATATCTTCTGCCCACTCTACCTTTGCTATTTTACCTTTTGAAAATAAAACTCAATGCAAAACTTAATGAGTGCTGGCCCAACAGTCTTGTGAATACTATAAAAGAATTGTTTCTGTCAGAAAAATAAAAGGCTGGAATTACAAGGGAGAGTTTCAAAGTTTGGAGGAATACTATCTGATCAGTATATTCCGGGTTGAGCGCCGATGTTGACATCTCCAGTGCTTTGAAAAGCTTTGAATTGTTGCCTGAAATCAAGGGAAAATCAATTGGTATTTGTTATTTTTGTCTCTTCATTTTATGTTTGTTCAGTGAAGTGTTCGTTGTCTGATCATAGAAATCTTTTGCCAAAGTGTTCGTTATCCAATTTGTTCGTTAACCGATCTGTTTGTTAACTGATCAATCACTGTACAATATGGATAAATTTAAACAGTATTTCAATTTTTATGTATATAATTTTTAATTTTAATTTATATTTGCATTTTTTTAATATGTAGGAAGGATGGAGTGATAGTGATGAAGATGAAGAAGACAAGGTATTAGCTATAATAAAAATTATATTTGATCAAAAGTTTATAATAACATAAGTGTAGAAACAATAGCTTGTAAATCCAGATTTTAATTATAAATAAAATGATTAAAGCATTTTCAATATTTTTAAATATTTCATAAGGTATAAAATTTAAAAATGGCTATGTATTGAATCAATAATTTAAGTTGTTAAATAAAGATTGTAACTTTTCGAAATTGTTAATTTGGAAAAGTTACAATCTTTCTTTTACAGTTTTTTTCTGTAGTTTATAAAGAAAAAATTGATCTCTTACATAAAGGAAAAAAAGGTTTTATAAAAAGATTTCCCCCCTCTTCTGAATTATAAAACTATATAATGATCATTTCTATGCATTTGGGGCTAGAACTATTTTAAGACTTAACTATTATAAACGGCTAGAAACAAGTGAAAAAGGTTTTGTCTTGGTCATCTTTATATAATGATCTGTTTTTTTTTTTTAATCTAAATGTACAATAATGAACTTATAGGAAAATTGTTGGCAACATTAACATAAAATCTTGGATTTTCAGATAAGTTTCCAGGGAACATTTTCCCCTGTATGAACTTTTCCAAGAAAAATTACATAGTTACCAATGACATACAAATTTTAACAATTGCTACAAAAAATATCTGAAGTTGTATGTTCTTCATAATGGCTTTAAAAAATATTGAAAATAATAATTAGGACAAAAAAAACATATTAAAAAAAATATTTTGAATTATAGTAGAGCCTCGATTATCCGAC